ACCCATACGTATGCGACTACAAGTCTCACACGACAGACTCATGTCGGGACTACCGCCTGCCCCTATGGATGGAAATCACTCCATGGGCTTTTTTCAAGAGCCTTCAAACCGTCTTCCTGTCGTATCCGCGTATCGCATCCTCCGTCGATCCATTTGCGTTGATCTTCACCGGAATCGACTCGTATGTGGAACTGCTGACGTTGTCTGCATCCCTGCTGAGGGACCACTGCGACTGCATTCCAAAGGAAATCAAGGGGTTTGCTGAGATTGGTCCTGGGGAGGAGTGTATTCAATCAGATGATATTCGACTAAAGGTGTCTGATTCTCGGATATGCTGGTATACTCGTGATGGGTGGGAAAAAGTTTGGGCGTGCATGTTGTGAAGCTGGCTAGGAGTGTTATAATATGACTGATATTCACATAGAATAATTATATAGTATAATAGTATATTACTGTACATGCTGGCATGTACACTTTCGAGTTTCGACACCTAATCCTAATCATTCATCATGTACATAATGATTCGTGGACGAATCCTCTCCCGCTACTTTGTAGCAACTCTCAACTCTCAGATCTTATGCATCATGGTCCATGCATGATGCATGATGTTCGGGTTTCAGAAGAACCGGTTCAATTGTTTGCTTTGTTTGTCATCTATAAGTGTCATACCCAGCTGATGACGGTCATGGGTCTGGTGCGATCGAGTTTCCATTGTTTTAAATTTTGACGACAGCAGCAAGTAACTTAATCTCGTCAGTACCGTAGTATACGCCAGGCTGGCCGCCCTCGGCCACGAACCTATGTTCCTCCGACACTATAGGTAATGCAGAACTCAACGTGTTGGTCATTAAAGATGATTTACATACCATGTCCGACACGCGTTTCTCTCGTGAGTCGCTTGGCGATACACGTGTGTATGGCAAGTCAGACCACCATGCTCTACCACTTCCAAGGCTTCTATTTCTCAGAACCTCCCTAGTAAGGTAAGTGCTTCCATTGGCCTCCGAACACTCTGTGCGAGTCGCGATTGTTCGAAAACTTGATTGACCTTCAGTCATAATGCGTGCGTAGAGGTTTCGGTCGGCTACGAGAAATAGAACAGACGAGAACAGACGATGAGTAAACGTAGTGCAAAGTATCCTGACTTTCATTTGAACTAGAGTTAGGATGCCAACGAGCGCCGGGGGCTGGAGATCAAGGATATATATACCGGTCCGTCAGTGTTTGAAGGTCGGTCAGTCATGAAGTGTTTGCTGAGGGTCAATGAGCGCAGGATTGTCATCAAGTAGAAAGGTGCGTACCTTGATAGTCAGATATAGATGCTAAACCACCGATCTTCACGTATTGAACATGTTGAGGCACAGGAGGTGTGCACACTTCGGCCTGAGTGCGGTCTGGCCATGCCTGTTTATAATGGTGAGAACGCTCGAACACCTCCTTCGAATGCCACACGAGGGGACGTACATTTAGCCTGTTACGACGCCGCCATAATGATTATGCGAAACACATGCTTTGAAGAGTCGCACATGTTAAGCGACCCGTTATCAATGTCTGTCTTCTGACTGCCGTGAGGTGAAGTTGTCGAGATAGCTAGCTGTGCAGACGCCGACGAAGCTCAGGCATGCTTCAGCGTTATTGACGCTGTTACGGTGTCGCTCGTAGAAAACAATGACGACGAGAATCATATGATAGTATTCATAAAGTGAGTTCTATTCGTGACTCCGCGGTGTACCTAAGCGCGGCAAGTTGCGGCCCAAAGAAAAAAATTACTCGAGGCCAGGCTTTTGTTATCATGCCTCAAGACAAGCTGCCCTATTCTTTGCCGCCTGCGATGATATGCAGTAGCAATGTCTAATACAGCCTCCCAAGAGCGTCCTTACTAGTATCAATACAGACCCGGAGTCAGCGGATCACATTAAGATGCATCGCCCGCCGGTCAGTCATAGTCTCCCGTATACTAGCTGCGGCAGACCCTGGTTTATCATGAGGTAAGTCATGGTAACCGAGCTTGAGAAAATTTCCATTCCGTTCGGCTCGACGGCCATCCTATTTAATATCCAAGCTGGATGGAGCTAGCCTCCACTTCTATTGAAGCTCTGCAGAATTTTGCACTTTCTACAATTTGTGGTTTACGATGCATCAGTCTCTGCTCATTGACGAGATTCTTTCTCTCATCATTCGGTTCGTCGCTGCCGACGGTCAAGGGGACCCGAAGCGTTTGGAAAATACAAGCAGCCTTGCTAAGCTAGCTCGCACATGCCGCTGTTTTATGGAATGTGCTCTTGACACCCTCTGGCGAACTCAGCATTCGCTAAGTCCTCTCATCATGTGTTTGCCGAGAAGCATTTGGGAGATTCACTCCAGCAATGTACTTGTGAGTCTCGTATCATTGTGTGCATGCAATTTCATAGTTACAGTACCTATAGTATCTCACAAGACCACCTACCGAATCTGAGTGGGCACGATTCGACGTGTATTCACGCCGTGTGAAGAGTTTCTCATACCCAAAGCAAACAAAAATGATCAGACTACACGAGGACGCTCTTCCACTCCTTTTTTCTGAACGCTCTCCACAGTCTCTATTCCCGTCACTTTCCTCGCTCGACTTCTCCATCCTGTCGTGCAATTCCTCCAGCTTAATCCGAGACTTTCTTTCCCCGAAACTGACAAACCTCGCCTTCACTCTCCCTCGAAAGATATGCCCTCAGGATATTTGCGGGATATTAGAAGACCTTCCTCGGAAGGCTACCCGACTCGAAAACCTCGCAATCTCATCGTTCTTTCCAGTGACGTCATTTGAATTGAACATTCCGACCCATGGACTACCAGACTTGCGTCGGTTGGTCGTCTCCAGCTCTATTCGTATATCTGCACAGAGCATGCTGAATATTGCATCACTTCGTTATGTTCAAGAGCTTGCCTTGAATCTCCATCATGATTTCGACGCCGACGTGCTACGCGATAGGGCAAATCATAGTACCTTCCCCGCTCTCCGGCGGGTCAACCTCGTGGCATATGACCTTCCTCAGTGTACATCTATCGTGTCGCTTATATGCTCACCACAACTAGAAGACGTTACCGTCACCTACAACGTCCAAGCACGATCTTCCGTCATCACTTCATTCTTGAGTGCCATCGGCACGTCCGTTCGATCAATTTCTCTCCGACACAATATGCAAACTCACGCAATCGCCGACCCTCCTTTTGTTTTCTATCCATCCACATTTGCACCGCTGTTCGCTTGCCGCAATCTCCGCACCATCCAAGTATACAATCTTGGTACGCTCAATTTAGATGATGACTTCATCATTTCGGCAGCTAAAGCCTGGAGCAAACTCGAGGACATTCGACTCTGCAGTTTACCTTGGTCCTCCATAATCCCCAACATCAGTTTGAACGCCTTGACAGCGCTGACTCGATACTGTCCAAAGCTCACCCGTGTGCACCTGTCCTTGGATGCAAGAGAAATACCTGAGCTACCCGTCGACGGTCTCAATACGACTGGTGCTCAGTTCCTGGGGGTGCTCAATGTCCGGGATTCGGCTATTGGCCACACCGAATCTGTCGCGCAGTTTTTGCGGGCGATCATACCGAATATGAGGACTTTGTATGTTGAAGCACACCCAGAACTGAGGGATAAATGGATGGAAGTCAAGGCCTATTATGACCGACTGTCCATGCCAGTAGTGCCTGCACTTAGAAATGGGTCAGACAGTCGCCCTTAGAACTAGTCATGGATTATTTTGGTATAGAGTTTGTTATTTGTAACTTGGCGCAGTAAGGTATCACTGAGACCTAGTAGGTGTTCTTTGTAACTTATATATGGAGTAAAGTATTACAGATTTGTCGATTGCCCCGAAGTTTGTCGCTTCGCACTGAACGCGCACCGGCTTCGTCGACACACTAGCTCCCAAAGTTCTACGTAGAAGGAAAACTAAAAACGGTACCACACGTCTTTGGAAGTTCTAAAAAACCCACAATGTTGTTGGTTTGGTACAGAAACCACTCCAAAGGTAATGACAGGCCCGTTTATAATGTCATCCTGCAGTTCTTGGCACTTGCAATGCTCATAGATTGAACAAAATGCGCGAGGCAAAGACACTGCACAGCCAACCGAGCGCTTCTTTGACTCAGCTGTATTATGGAGTTATATCAAAGTTAAATAACCCGATAAGAAGCGCGGTATACAATGACCAAGAAACCCGATCAGAAGCTCGCTGCTCACCTTTCCAATCGATAAAATTTGCAGCGCTTGTATAGCGTAAGGGATATCGAAATTAAATCACTGAGAAAACTCATTGGACACTACGTACCAACTTCATAGAACGCCAACGAACCATAAATGATGCCACTTCCTCGAGTATACCGCGCGTCAATTCTCGAAAATGAAGTCAACATTCAGACCGCATCATCGAAAAGGCCGATGATAAGAGCAAATCATACACCATCAACTCCAAAATTGGCTGTGAAAAATTTGGCAACGTATGGTGGATCACTGTTGAGTCAAGTTACATATAGCTTGGGATCTGCGACGTTGGCTCGCGTGCCGGTGGATTGCAGAAATTCGACTGCCTTGCACTTCGAGCCAGGATTCCTGAACGCACGAGCGAGCATCTTTTGAGGTCGAGTTCATACAATTCTTGCTCAATGGCGTCCAGTTATTCCAGGAAGTGGGCAACAAAAAGGTGACAGTTTGAATTCGCAAGGAGAGCTTCCAGTCACGACCGAGCGTTGATGGTAGTTATGGGGGCACTGCGGGGATGGGTATTGCGGAGGAGGATTAATGCTGGGCGTCTCTCTTGTTTCATGGAGCTTCTTATAATCACTTTTAGTCATGATTCAGGTGCGGCGAGCTTGACGATTGGAATTTGCGTCATCTGCGTAGTTTTAACTGGTCACCAGTTGAATATTGGCAGTATTTACTATTCTCAGTCTTTTTGTGTTCTTTATCATCTTCTAAACACTCTGGTAGTATGTCGTAGCGCGGAGTCCACATGATCTTATGCTGTCCAGACCTTCGCAATCAACTCCGTCAAGCCTTTAGGATATAAGTTAGGCGAGGAAATATGACAAGGAGTATGGATCGCACCAATGTCATTCGTGTTGAACTGATAGACGCCAACGAGCACACCGACCGTGGCCGATCTCAGTGTCCAGGTCAGGATAGGGCCAAGGACAGGGAATTTGCGTTTGTGCACATAGTCCACAACCATCGAGTCAAACTAGCATGAAAAATCCACGTTTATATTCTCAGGCATACCACCTCTAGCGGTCACGTACCCCAATATGAGAGTGCATCACCAAGCTAAGACCGAGCAATCCGTCGAAGACGGGGTAGGATGACCCAGAGGTTACAAAGGCGGCTGCGGTCATGGGTACGAGGGAGGCAGCAAGAAGGCGCTCGAATGCCCAGTGATACGAGCCATGCGTTCTTGATGGAGGGGGGAACTCCGTAGGGTCGTTGACCGTGCCCTTCAAGATAGCTGTGAAGCATATGAGTGAGTTTTCCTGATGTCAAATAAAGTTCCCAAAACGCACGTCCGCCTGGCACATACTGCGTAGTCGAGCTTGCCGCTCTCACTTTCAAACGCAGGTAAGCTTGATCCACGCATGACGAATGAGAAGGTTCTACCTTGCAACGCGAATCGTAGGGAATTACGTCCAGTGGCAGAAGTAAAGGTTCTGGGCAACGTTGAACGAAGGATCACGGACGAAGCCATCGTCGCTGAAGAGAGTAGTGCGAGAAAGGTCGTGTACACCGTGCGTAATGCGGGGCGCGGATGAGCGTTGGAAACTGGGAATAAAGCCGCTAACCAATCACATGCTTCCGGTTATATCCGGGTTTGATAGCGAGTCGCGACTCTGTTCCCTAGCACTCACAAAGTACTCATGCTTCGGAAACTTTTGCGATTGCTCAAGCCAGATGTTGATATGCGATCAAGCTTCGTGATTCCCATTCCTCATTGTTTCAACATCGAAGAGCTACCATCTGCAGCGTCTCAGCGCTCTCAAATCCAGGAGTTGATTCGATGTAGCAATCAGCCGTTAGCTGAACTCAAACAAACACTTGACCCGCTATCGAGACACCTACTGAATGGCCTGGCGTACACCGTTGGTTCTGCACTAGGGTCTGAGCCGCCAACACGAGAGGAATGCCTTACAGCATTCAGCATACCCAACAAAGTGGGTCTTACGGCTGGTGCTCGTGCATGGTCAAAGCATTCGCACCGCTCGCAAGGAAAGACATCAGGAGCAAAAGATTCACCAGTCAAGAGAAACAACAAAGGGCAGATAAAAATAGACACGGGGTGGTGGGGCACCCCTTCCGGCTCAGTTTCCTCCATCAATGAACGTGGGCTGATATTATTTGAACGAGTGGTGGACAATTCGAGTTGGAGGAATCTCCATTGGCTACCGCATCAGGTCCTAGTATATGAAGCACGAGTAGCAGAAGGATATGGAATGCGCTGGTCCCAAGATCGTAGTGTCTTAGAGAGCGGCGGGGAGGTTGTTGCTGAACTCCCTTCATGGACATTCCGAGGATTTGTAGAGCCAATGATTGAAAATGGTCACGAAGTAGGATGGAAACACCATATTTTAGATACCCAGCAGTGATTTCTCCACTACTTGAGCTTGTGAACTTGAATAATTGCTTAATACACGATAGCTGGCCCTGAAAGCCTAAAAAAAAACTTTTGTAAGTTGAGGGGTTGAAATTTTGACTTAAAGGACCTTGCGAGGACAAGTGGCGTGACACTCTTGAACGCGTGACCACCGACGCGTGACCAATAAATATCGTTGTCACGCATGAGGCCGCCTTTTCGGCGCTGCCTTTCTTGCAGTCGTCAGCAGAGCACGGGTCAACTTTTTCGGAGCCATTTTCGAGGAAACCTCACTTTGCTGCCTCCCGTAGAATGTCAAGCTCTTCTATGAACGGCGCTCGCAAGACGTCATCTCGATCTACTCATGCACAAGCCATCTTGGGTCCCGAGTTTTGTGAGAGGTTGTCTGAGACGAAAGTTCTACTGGTTGGGGCGGGAGGAATAGGATGCGAACTTTGTAAGTCTTTGAAGGATATATTTTTATATTGCATTCCGTGATTATGATATAATATGTGACAGTGAAGAATATCGTCTTGACTGGCTTCGGCCACATAACCCTCCTTGACCTAGACACCATAGACCTTTCGAACTTGAATAGGCAATTTCTTTTCAAAAAGAAAGATATCAAACATAGCAAAGCCATGGTAAGCCACTCAATTGACAGATCTCGTTCCGGGGTAACATCATAGCATCGTCCCGCAAGGTAGCAGCCCAAACTGCTGGCGCTTTCAACCCCAACGTCAACATTCAGCCCATTCATGCAAACATAAAAGAAGCACAGTTTGACATTGAATGGTTCAAACGTTTCGACATCGTTCTGAACGCACTAGACAATCTCGGTAATGATAACCGATGACATAAATTCAACATAGTTTGACGGAATCGATTTTCCAGATGCACGAAGACATGTTAATAAGATGTGCATGGCTGCCGGTGTTCCTCTAGTTGAATCCGGTACTGCCGGATACCTTGGCCAAGTACAGCCTTTACTCAAGGTATTGGTTATCTTGGTCGATACAGCTGTGTTGTTGAAGGATTTCTTGTCCAGGATCGCACAGAATGTTTTGACTGTGTGCCGAAGCCTACACCGACGACTTTCCCGGTGTGCACGATCCGGTCTACACCGTCTCAACCTATTCACTGTATTGTCTGGGCGAAGAGCTACCTACTACCGTGAGTTTATTCACGTGTTTTATGAGAAGATACTGTACTGTGATATCAGGCAACTATTTGGTGAGGACGAGGATGGGACAGACGAACTCGATGAAGCGGAGAAACAAGGAGAAAACGGTAGATTTGATTATCCTGAAGTTCTGTACGTATTGCTAAGGGGGTGTTTCACACAGCCGAAGAAATTGCCGCTCTGCGCAGAGAGGCGCTCGCATATAAAGCAGTTCGAAGTGCGCTCCGCTCCGCACAGACGACGGAGGATGTGGCTCAACGTGTCTTCAAGAAGGTCTTATTTTACACCATATTCAAATTCTACTTTGAGGTATTGATTCCCTGCAGGTTTTCCACTCGGATATCCTCAATCTGTTATCAATGTCTGACATGTGGCGCGCACGTGAGGCACCAACGCCTCTTGATTTCAACGCTATCCAGGAAGGGACATTTTCCATACAACGACCTTCGAATCCGGGTACTACTAGCGGGAGTGCACAGACCACCCACTTCCAGCCAGCGAACGGTCACGTGAACGGAAAGACCCCTTCGACGTCTAGTTCGTCGAACGGAGTTTCGGGACTAAGGGATCAACGGGCACTCAGTTTACACGACACCTTGGAGCTTTTCATATCAAGGTAGGTATAGGTGTCATGCAATCAATTAGATTTCTCAATGAGAATTGCAGTACAAATCGACTTGCCGAGCGACTTCGCAAAGGTGAAGATACAATTTCCTTCGACAAAGATGACGACGACACACTCGATTTCGTTACCGCTGCTGCAAATCTTCGTTCTGCGGCATATTACATCGATCGCAAGACACGTTGGGAAATCAAAGGTCTGTTTTCATATCGCTGATACTGTCTTACCACTCATCTCTCCCTAGAAATGGCAGGAAATATCATTCCCGCAATTGCGACCACCAATGCCATCATTTCCGGCCTCATAGTTTTACAAGCAATCCATCTCCTTCGCAAATCATACGCGCAACTGCGCAATGTCCACGTGCAGTTCAAGCCAACCAATCCTCTTAGCACAAGTACTATGTGCCCGCCGAATCCTAAATGCGGCGTCTGCCGAGACACCTACATCACAGTGTTGTGCGACCCTGTTCGTGTAACATTAAGTGAACTTGTAGATGGCGTACTCGGCGATAATGAAAGGGAGGTCAGTGTCTACGAAGACAAGCGCATCCTCAGTGACCCCGACTGGGATGATAATCTTGAACGGACACTGGAGAGTTTGAATGTTGGAAGAGGCAAGTTCTTGACAATCGTGGATGAGGATGAGGAGTGGGGTACCATTGTAGTTGCGTTGAGCATACTACCGTAAGTGACATGGATTTTCTGTTGAGTCCTTGGTTAATGTGCACCGCAGACCTAATCATCCTTCTGATGGCCCAGCGTTTATACTTCCATCACCACTACCATCACCTCCTCGTCTAGAGAAGCAGCAGTCAACACCCCCTCCCGCGCCATCTCGCAAACGGTCCGCCCCTGATGACGAAATTGTGGAAGTCGGGCCAATTGCCAAACGCGCGAAGACAGATACAAATGGCACAGCATCAATACCGAATATTGCGAGTCCCAACAAAAGGAGGAGATTGGAGGAGGACGGGCTGCTGATGTTGAGCAGCAAGGATGACAAAATAGAGGACGACGTGATTGAAATTGATTGAGACCCTTTCTCTTTCCGTCTTGCTTATGTTATTGAATGTTCTAAGTGCTTCAGTTGCAGACCTCGAGTGAGCATAGTATTACTCAGGTGCGACATTGCCAACGGGCGGTATATATAGCAGCTCGAATGATCATCGATCACTGTCAACTACGGTGGGACATGAAGTGATGATCTCCAGCTGCTTTTGACTTTTCTCCTTTGCTGAGGTTCACGCCGACTTAGCTACACGATTAATTATGAAGAATACGCTGTAGATGTATATATGAAATGCCACTTTACATAATTATCGATACACCATTTGGCATTTGTTACGCGGACGTTGCGCGGACGGTAAATATTATTCCTTTCGGCTTGAAAATACTGCTCGCATTTTAATCTATTCTTGACCAGTATCCTTGTTCTTGGCAACGGTCATCAACTGGCGAGCTGCAAGTGCCAGCTTGCAGGAATGAACACGATCGAATCATTTCCTTCGAAAGTGATCTCTACTATTTTTTTTATTCGGAACAATTGCGAATCCTGAAGTTTGGATGTATCGTAGCAGAACCTTGACCCGGGTGGTGCCTATGCCTAGACAAAGTGTATCGTGCACTCGATATTGTGTATTGCGCACTGGATGCGCCATTCATCAAAGTGGGTCATACGCCACGACGGATGAAGTTATTTCTGTCTTGCAGTCACATGGACGCGTACGAGGGCCCCGTGTTGGCTTTCTAAGTCGAACCCGGTGAGATTGGTAAGTACGCTCCTCATTGCTCCCGAAAGTGACTGATGCTTGGAGCAATCATATTCATCAAGAACCCTCTCGGCAGAATCAAGGCGATGAAACACTCACAGAAATGCGACAACACGTGCCAACAGAACGCAGACAAGTACATAGTGCAATCACCGATTCGCGTGTACTACTCTCCCGCGACTTAGACTGAATTGTTCATCACACCATTCCTGTCCCCTGATGTTGCAGTCACTACAACCACCATCGGATCCGTTACCTGCTTTACGGGGCTGGCATCCAGGAGAACAAGCCGTTCAGGCAATCATCCACCTCCCCGAGCGCGTTGCAATCACTGCGGTCGTCGATAGGTTGCCCGAGCAGCATCGCATCTTCCATACAAGCCGACTACATTTCTTACCCGTCACTACTCTAGACCAGCAAGGGAGACCGTGGGCATCTATTCTTTGCTCACATGATGGGATGCCAAGCTTTATCTCATCTTCTACTAACGCTTTGCTCACGATCAAAGCACATCTATGGCCTGGAGATCCAATCATCCAGAA